ACAGGAAGGAGCCTGGGATGGAAATTCTCCACAGAGCCTACTTCTGCTCCTGACTCTTTTACCCAGTTCTGTATACAGCTGTTTTTAGTACAGCTCCCCTTCAGCTGCATACTCCCCAGGCTGTTGTTGGGAGTATGCCACCATATAAGTTCCTGCTTGTTTGAAGCCTCTAGAGTCTGAATCGAGTCCGGCACTACCCTCTCAGGGTATGGATCCTTTTGGCACTCACCCTAAGAACTGAGACCTGTGGTCTTAACTGCCTTCTCCCTGGGACTTCCCAAATTCCCCCATAAGCTAAGCACACTCAGAACTCCTGCCATGTGGCTTCTCAGGGTTCACAGGTTAACTCTTCAGATGTATGAGAAAAGCATACCAAACAGACTTTGCATAACTAGTCTTTTAGACTGCACTAAAAACACACAGACTGGAGGGAGAGGGGATGGGAAACCCTGCCACTATAACCAACTGAAATACCATATGTATAGGAAAAAGTGTATTTTCTCTCTTTTCCTTCTTGGAAGCAATAAATCATTTTTTGCTAAAGCTTTAAAAAAAAGCAAAAAACAAAAAAAAAAATCAAGCCTTTATGGAAAAACTTAAGATCAAATGGTTAAAACAATTATAACAGCCTGTCTTCAGTAGCTTGTAACTGAGCTATGAGAGCTCAGCTATTGGTGGAGCTACAGTACACTGAACATTATAAAAATTTGCCCTACAGACAAATGTCCAATATTACACACAAAAAACATGCAGTGATATAAAAAGGGAAGTCTAACTAAGCGATTCTCAACCTTTGAGCACTTTATTTTCCACGATACTGCCACCAAAATCTGCTGTTCATGGCCCCCATGTTGAGAACACACGATCCAGTTCCCCAGGGGCACAAATTTCTGCTACTGTGGGGAAGACAGAAGAACTGGAAAGGCATGCTACTTTGGAATTTTAAAAAGCAATAAACCCTACTTCAAATCTAGACTGATTTAGATCATTAATCAGTTCATTAGTACCAATTTCTGAACTTGTGCAGTTTTATTCCTCCTTGGAAGTGACCGTAAAAGAAATAAATGAACAAACAGAGTAGGTTCATCCTGACATGTTACATATTTGATTCCAGATCCCTTTCAGAATACTTAGAAGTTCTATCTACATAACCAGTGTAACTGCTGTGATATTTTAGTCCTGGGATATAGCCTAAAATTGTAAAAGCATTTTAGCAAACTCTATGTAATCCTCACAGTTTTGTTGGGTTTTGTTTTGCTTATGCTAACAAAAACAGGAACCATTAGAAATCGGTCACTTTACTGTTATGAATTTGCACAAAGGCAGCGACCATTCCAGCTAACTGAGGCTGTAACTTTTGCATCACTGAGAAAAGCTGACAGATTAAATTTGAGTATGTACAGAGCTTCCAAGTTCTGTAATAGTCTTGCTGTGATTTAAAGACGACAGCTGAAACTAAATATATACCAACTACAAAAAATAAAAACATGATTTACATAAAAACTACCCTTAATAGGTATCACTGAAGAAATCACTGATGCTCACAGTAATGACAGAAGCCTCATTTATGAATTATTTAGTACTAAATCAAAGCCCTTTAAAATGACTAGATTTTTTTTCTTGTACACAATATGTTACATTATTCTTCTTAGCCTGCCAGAATCAAATCCCTGTGATATGACTAAAACAGCAATGCAGTTTGGGTTGGAAAGTTCAACCTCAGAAACACACATCAGGAGATTCCTAGACAATTTTATCTACCACAAAAAATACGGAATCGGCATAGAAGAGTTCCACACTACAACAGATTTGTATACACAATCAGCCGGATTTTTGGTTGTAGCCGTGTTAGTCTAAGGACATATGCAGGCAAGGTTCTTTGGGCAGATGCGAGATATCTTTTATTAGACCAACTGAGTAGTTGGGAAAACGTTCTTAGCAAGCTTTCGGGTGCAATCACCCTTATTCAGGCATAGGAAGTCTCTGCTGTTCTGAGACTCCAAGGAACGAGAGAAGCTAAAAGTGTGATAGGATGACAGTGAGAATGTAAGTAGGTGTAAATTAGGAAAACGAAAAGGTAGAGGAGGGAAGGGAGGGGGGAAAAAAAAGCAGGAGGAAAAAAAAGTCAAAAAGTGAGTAAGGGAGACCTTACAGTAGTAATAATTCAGTAGAAAAGAGGCTGTCTGTGAAAAAAAGGAAATGAATAGAAATTAGGAAGATACAGGGCAGAAAAGTAAGGGAAGGGAGAATGGGGGGGGGAAGAAAAGTATATGAGGTCAGGTATGGAAGGTACCTGGTGAATCAGATGTCAGGCAGGTAAGAGCACTTTTGAAAGCAGGTTTTAGGGCACCCTCAGTTTAAAACTATGCCAAAAAAACTTTATACCCCTGTAGAGGAAGGGTGAAAGGATTCAGTAAGAGAAGGGTGTCAAATTCACCTGTCTTGTGGGATGGATCTGGACCATATGACTCTTTGTGAGCCAGCTTTAGATGCAATAGCAGGGTGTGTGATAGCACCAGCTGCAAGAGTTAATGCAGCTATCACTTGACCAGAGCCACCAACACATGTCTCCAGCAGGACTCTATACCTGGGATGTCAGTGGTAGGCCCCTTACCCTATCTGCCCCACCTCTGAATCTCCAGACCCTCGGGACCTCTACGAGCCAGACAACATGGCTCTGTGGGCTGATTCCAGCCCACACTGTATATTTAACACCACTGTAATAAGGAATTGGTACTACTAGGTAAAGTGCCCATTGTTAGGTTTGTACATTAATTTTAGAAGAACTATGTTCAAGGCACTTGTGTTGGCTGAATGTAGCAAACAGCTGCACTTCTTGCTTATAAAAATAAAAAGCACGATGAAAGACTTATTCGAGATACTGGCTTAGGAGTAGTTTGAAGGCATATTCCCAGGATGGAAAAATAAGGAAGAGACTATTTTTTTAAATGCCAGTTTGATTTGACCTATTCTCTCTCTCTCAATAGTTGTGTGTAATACTGATCGGTATATACTGTAATAATTTTATTTATAATAGAAGTGGACTTTTGGAAATATACAAACAACAACAAGCATGAATAACATCTACTTTCCCCTGAAATCCACGAATTAAGTTCTGTGAAGTTTTAATTCCAGCAGGCTTGGGCAATGAAGAATTCATTTTTAGAGAAAAGCATGAGAAGAATCAAGCACCCCAACAAACCACTTTGAAAACATATCCAACCTCATACTGAGGGGGGCTTAGGGTTTTCTATTATGCTGAATGTAAAATAAAAATGACCACCCCGTCTTTATTGCTCAGATGTTTGCAGGCAATACCAAGTGAACTTTTTGCAATTTAATCACCTTGGGGTGATCACACCCAGGAAGTCTAGGTGTTGGCAGCTTTGTGGCTGTTGTGGAACTAGGATTACATTTAGTGACTTAGCTGCCTAAAATCTGTATTAAGTGCCATTTTGATGTTTCAGAAGTATAATAGGGTATCAGTCACGCTGTTTCTCTTTGTCAAACTTGCTTACCTATAGGATTTCTTTGCTAACTGAACTATCAGACTTTCTCTTTCTTAAAATAAATTAATATCACGGCTGGTGTAGGTACCAAGCTTGAATCCTACTGATGTTTTTGGCATACAAAATTGTTAACTAGAGAACGTCATTAGAGAAGCAGGGCTGAAAGAAACCTTACAAGGTCATCTGCTCCAGCCCCAGGTCAAGGCAGGATCATCCCTGACGAAACCACCCCAGCCAAGTGTCTGTCCAACCTGCTCTTGGAAGGGAATATGAAGCTAAAGAGAAGATTCCACAATTCTGAGTTAACTTGTTAACAATGCATAATCACTACCAGAATCAGGAAGTCCTTCCTAATCGCCCACCTAAATTCTCTGCTACGGCTTGAGGCCACTGCTCCTAGTCCTGTCCCCTACAGCAACATAAAAAGCCCATCTTCATCCTCTCTATAAATTGCCTTACAGGCATTTGAAAACTTATCTAATCCCCTCTTCCCCCACATCTTTTTTCCCCAAAAAATAACATTAAAATAACTCTAGCTCTTCCAGCCTTCCCTCATAAAACTCTTCTTCCTAGGACCCTCATCATTTTTGTCGTTCTGTGCTGAATTCTTTCAAATCTATCCATGTCCTTCTTGAAGTGTGGGGCCCAAATACTCCAGGTGAAGCCTCAACAGTGCTGGAGAGAGAAAGAATCACTTCCCTTGATTTGCAACATTCCTGTTGACACAACCCAGTATGCTACTGGCTTTTTTGGAAACAAGAGCACACTATAGGCTCAAATTCAGCATATGGTCTACTGTAAGCCCCAGGTCCTTTCCTGTAGTACTGCAGCCTAGGCAATCATTCCCCACTCTGTATTTATACATGCAATTATTTCATCAAGTGGAGGACTGCGTTTGTCCTGGATGAAGCTGATTTACTTGATTGTGGATCATTTTTCCAGGCTATCCGGGTCATGCTGGATCCTAGCCCAGCCCTCCAATGTCTACAACTCAACCCAACTTGTCATTATCCCCTGGGTGTCACTATGCTGGGGTTTGCTATTTTAACATACAACTGCATGAAAACTGCATTGTGCAGCTTAATGCAAATCCCTAGATAGTCAAGTTGCAAGGAATGTGATTTCTATAACAGTTAGTGGGTAATTGGCACTTCTACAAGCTTGTTGGACCTCTTGGAATTCCTAAGCTGACAGTTTATCTTGGATAGGTTAGAGGCAGTATGTTTACTTCCAAGACATGTCTGGATAGACTTCCCCCACCAATGGAATTCAAACACTAAGATTAAGTTGCCGCAAGTGATAGCACTATTTTGCATTATTTTACACACTAAATTTGTTATGCCTTCCCTTGAAACATTTGATTTATGAGCTTGCTATATAATTCCAGCTGCTATGAAACTCATTTCAAAGAGCTGATGTACCTGGAATGCTTAACTACTGGACACAATCTTCACAATAGCTATGCCATACACATTCATCCTTGTATCTTACCCATTGTGCACTGCCGCTCTTGGATCACTGCTGCTCTTCACCTTGATCATCAATAAGGAGAACAGAAGGAAGAACATTGCCAAACCAAAGCACACACGATACACTGCTTTGTATCCAACTAAGACATCGCAATTCACGTGGCCATGCACACCAGGAAGAGACGTTCCGATCCCTCCATCACAAAAACCAGGAATCTATGATTAACACAAAAGGTTTCAGTGATCTGCAAGATTTCTATGAGCAAATTTTGAATTTTAATAATTTTTCAGTATTCATGAACCTGTATATTATTTCAACAACCTCATATACATTGATTATCTGACGTTCTACAGCTGCATGGTGCATGCATATAAGATTATCTATAATTCAGTGCATGGGTGAGAAAGTTTTTGAAAAAAAAGAATATACAGAAAAAAGGCTTAATCATACCATCGGAGACATCATCAATTTTTTGGAATCTACAATGAAAGTTCAATTTGCTGTTTCAAAGCAGCAGATAATAAGTAATTACTTCAGGGCTGTACCAATTATTATGCTGGTGATAAAAATCCACAAACCATGCACTGAGAAGACAGCCTTGCTTAGGTCCATTTGAAATAAAAAAAAAAATTGGGAGGGGGAGAAACGTAGCAAGACAACCAATAAACATTTCAGTAAGTTGATAAAAAGGAAAACTGGAAGCATCTTTTTTCAGTCTGTACCAAGATACCAGTAAACCTTTAAAGTGATACACTATATAACCATGTTTCATGAGGGTATAATATCTCTTTTCAAGGCAACTGAAATTACTTTGGCCCATGTTCTAAAGTAATTACTTATTAAACAGAAAAAAGAACAGTTACAAATAGTGTTTTAATGAAGGGTATAATCACAATGCACTCCTTAATCTATACCCAGAAGTATGATATTTAGCAGGGATAACAATGATCCAGAAAACTGAAGAAATAAGGACACATTTAGTATAAAATGTCCATCTCAAATCAAAATGTACTTACTTCTTTGAAGGAGTTGGATTAACTGCCACATAAAACATCTAACTAATTGAAATTGAAAGTCTATCACAAAAAGTGTTTTATGTAATATACCATTAGAGATTTAAGCTATAGTTTTACTAAAATACCACAATGGGCACCTCCAAATGAGCATGCATATGCATTATGCAACACTGCAGACCCATCTGTGGCCCAGATGCTGGCCCCAGCCTCTCCTACCCCCCCGGGACAATGTGCCACATGCACAGGGGTTCCCCTTGGACAAGTAGAAGCAGCACATACTGTTGTTCTGAACTGCAGAATACTACTCTCTCACTTGATTTCTACTGCCAAAAAACACCCTAAAAGTGTATCAATAGATAAAAGTAAGAAAAATGTCAGATTTCTATGAACTAGGTTTATGTATCAAATTATTACATATAAAGTAATCTCTATGCACACATAAAAACCATGTGCTGCAATCTTTATTTTACATGCAAATACATCTGAGCAGCTCTGGACCCAAGAATTAAACTTTACTTCCAGAGGATATATAACAGAAGAACTGTATTCTATCAGTAACTGCTTATCCTTAAAACAGAACATGTAAAATATTATACACTGAACGATGACTCCAAGTATGCAGGCCTATTTACTGGTAGCAGAACAAGTATTTCGTAACTTCAAGTCAGTCATGTTTTTATGGTGCTGTCTGGCCATTGTGAAATATCCGTTCTACCAAAGCATGTTAAGCAAATAAGTAATCTGACCTTCTTCAGCTGTTCTTCCATGCCTGGTATTAACATCACACAGGCAACAGTCACTCCAAGGAGCAAAAAGAAAGCATAAGTCAATCTCGTTATGGTGGAGTTGTTTCCACTGGGGCAGCATCGACACAGCAAACATGGAGTACTGCCACACAGGCATGGTATCTAGCAGGAGAAATGATGGAACAGCGTTAAAAAGGATCAAAGTTGTTTATGTTCATATTCAAATATTTAACCAGGTTGCACAGACTGCTAAAATTACTGGCAGAAAATACTTTAAGATCATTCAGTCCACCTCCTCAACAATTCAAGACTATTCCCTATAACATTCTATAAACCTTTCTAATGTTATGAAGCTCATCAGGACTGCATCACTGCACAAGGAAGATTATTTTTGTATTTCAAAGGCTGCTGTTAACTTATTTGGTAAAACAGTTCAGTTTGGTTTTTGGGGTTTGTTTGTTTTTTAATATTGCACAATCTTCATTTATTTGTGTATAAGTGAATTATAACTATTATTAAATAATAGTCAAACCAAGTTTGCTTACCAGTTTACTGTTCTTGGGATTTAACCTATATGCTGACATTATATATTCTGTATGAAAACTATCTGGTACGTGTCTATATGACAGCAGGCAAAAAGACCGGTCACAATCGCTACTATGACCTCTGAGCATCAAGTAATACACAATTAATGAATCAGAGTCCAATCTTTTGACTGAAAAAAATAGCCTATTTCTCTGAATAAATGCTATAAACACATTGAGAATTCAGGTGACCCTCAGCTATCTAACGAGCAATTTGCACAATTTAGAAAGGGATATAAAGTTCAAGAGCAATATAAAAATGGAAGAGACTCTATTCATAGGCAACAAATATCTATAGTTGCTCAGCATTCTTCTCTCCCTTTGTTGCCGATACCCTGGGAAAGCAAGTTATGTCTGAGGGCAAAATAAATTAGATGAGAACACACTTCAGAGAGGAAAAAAAGGCCACTTCACATTACAAATCTATATTTTAGCCTTTAGCAATGTTCTCACGTGGACAAGCCAATATTTTATTAAAATGAGAGAAGGGCTTTGTTAGGGAATGTCAAACACGTGATACTCGATGAGTATGGGTTACCTCAAGTTACTTTATTTCTAAATATATTGCTCATCCTAATTTAGTTACCAGGGATGACCATTTTTATATGTTGGCAAATCTATCCAATCTTCGGTTGTCACGTAATTTTGCAGCAAAGGTGTTTGGTTAGTAATATCAGGATCAAAGCAATATTTGCTGTTACTGCTGACTTTCCACCCCTTCTGTATTGACTGCTCCAATCCTGAAGAACAGCAAAGAGCTATCAGACTACTCTATTACAAAAGCATCTTTTCAAAATAAGCCACAGAAGTGCCTTGGTTGTGCAATCCTATTATCTTCCCTCTACTACAGATTCATCCTGAAAAAGCCTGCAGTACTTTTCTAGTTCTGCTATTGATTTTCATCCATTATTTACAGCTGGAGACGTGTCTGCCATTTTGTGAGACAACTGACTGGCAACTGTCCTAGGGTGTTTGTGCTTGGTGGGTGCTTGAACCTAGAACATCTTAACCTGCTTCTTACTTGAAGCTCTAACCTCAACTTTTTCCCCAAACAGCCTCCATCAATCCTGAATGATCCAGAATCTGTGCCCTGCCCCAGAATCAGCTGCATCTTTCCAAAGGTTTATAAGTATCCTCTGGTAGCATAAGGGATGGCAAAGATGGGATTTACCTGATACTTGTCAGAAAACTTTGTGCAGAAACTGTCGTAAAGAGTCACCGCTCTAGAAAACTATCCCAATCAACAGTCACACGTTGAGTACCAAAATGACTGCGGAGGCTGCCACCTCCTGCTTATACTAAATGAAGGGATCTTGTAGGAGTGTATATGCATAGAGACATACTAGAGGCTAGCAACAGCACAGACAACAATATTCTCCTTGCCAGTGCACTGTAAGCAGTGAACTTTCATGGAAGCCATAGCTTTGTTTTTACTAGTGCCTTTTAGCTATAATCTCAACTTTTGGGGGGCAGGAGGGAATCATGCCTTAAACACAGCTCCCATCCATGTGAACTGCACACACATGAACACCAAATGCACAGTAGTTTCCTACACATGCATTACTACTACTACTATGGGATAACATCTGTATTTCAAGGAAATATAGTAAGAAAAAAGTATTAACTAACCAACAACCACTTTTCCCCCCCCTTAAAACTAGGTAGGTTTCAAGAAGACCACGAGTAACGTACCAATTCCACCTACAAAACTCCACTCAGCAATAAGTGTGACAACTAATTAGAATTGATACTATTTTATACAAAAAGATGCTCAAAATATCACAGGAAGATTTTTTCCTGACATACTACCATATGAACCACTATGTGCAAATTAATTTACTTTTTTAGGCCTGACAAAGCAAAAGCTGGATAAAAAACAACTCTGTGAAGATGGCAGTTGTTAGGAAGCTGTTCAGAATAGACTGCCACATACAAGATGCACTGGAGCATCTGAAGAAGTTATGCCTATTGGGGGAGGGGGGGGGATTTTTGGCTAAAAGGACACATGAGCAGGCTAATCTAAAAACCTTCCATGCTATTCTTTATTGTTATGTTTTATAGATTTCATAGACATTTGGGCTGGAAGGGACCCCAGAGGATCAGAGTCCAGCCCCCTGCCCCAGGGGCAGGAAGTCAGCAGGGATCATAGGATCCCAGCAAGATAAGCATCCAAATGTGTTTTGAAGGTATTCAAAGTGGGTGCTTGAACCGCGTCAGGTGGCAGTCTGTTCCAAACCTTGGGGGCTCGGACAGTGAAGAAGTTCTTTCTTATGTCCAGCCTGAACCGGTCACAGTGGAGTTTGTGACTGTTCGAACTTGTCATCCCTTGGGGCGCTCTGGTGAACCGTCGTTCCCCCAGATCCTGATGAGCACCCATGATAAACTTATGGGTGGCCATCAGATCACCCCTGAGCCTGTGCTTTTCCAGGCTGAATAGCCCCATCGCTCTCAGCCTCTCATCATAAGGTCTATTTTCCTGACCCCTGATCATACACGTGGCTCTCCTCTGCACCCTCTCAAGCTTCTCCACATCCTTTCTGAATTGCAGAGCCCAAAACTGGACGCAGTACTCCAGCTGCAGCCTCACCAAGGCCGAGTACAGTGGGAGAATGATGTCCCGGGATCTGCTTGAGAAGCATCTATAGATACAAGCCAGTGTTTTGCTCACTTTACTAGCCGCAGCATCACACTGAAGGCTCACGTTAATCTTGTGGTCAACCATGACCCCCAAGTCCCTTTCATCTGTAGTGCTAACCAGCGTTAACACTACTAAGCCTATAAGGATGCTGCAGGTTTTTCCTCCCAAGGTGGAGAACCTTGAATTTTTTGGAGTTGAACACCATCAGGTTCTCGTCCACCCATTTCATGAGTCTGTCCAGATGTGCCTGGATGTTAACAAATAATATTTTGGTTTCTGGTTTAAATAGGTCCCTGAGACGCACAATCATAAATGACAAACCCAGTCAGACCTGTTGGATAAGCATGGCTGATGCATACTGCACATTATTCTTATACTGGACAATGTCATTCAACTCAGGTGACACCTGACGGCTTACAGAGATCAGGACAGTCTTCATACCATGCATGTGCCCCAACAATTTAAGTACCCAGGCCTTTGACTGAGTAAGGCAGCACTCAGGAAATGTAAGCAGAAAAGCAGGTTTGGACCATTTGATTTGAGGCAGCAAAGAGGGGGGAAAATGAGCTTAAGCACTAGTAAGATTGCTTGAGTAAGATAACACACAAGTGAGTATATATTTGTCCAGAAAGCTGCAAGCTGGATCTGCAAATCACTCTACAAAAGTGATTGCAAAGATTAAAAAAAAAAGAAAAAAGAGCAATATTTATTTTAGGTTCTCCAAGTATTCAGTACAGCAAAGGCTTTGTTATCTGGCACCCATGGGGAATGGGGAGTGCCGGATAACCAAATACGCCGGTTATCTGAGAGGCAAAGACATCAGTTTAGGCCGCCGCTCCTCCCGCTGCACCGCCACCCCTCCTGCTGCGTCAGAGAGCCAGGGGATAGGGAGGGGGGCCCCAGGCACACTGGGGAAAGGCTGATATGCGGGCTGTGGAGGCTTGGCAGCACAGGCTGCTTTGCCCCAGGCCATGCGGGCTTGGCAGAACTGGAAGTGCCACAGTAGGCTTTTGCTGCGTCGACTTGTCCCCACATGATCCGGGGACAACAGGGCAGACCCTACAGTGAGAGACTGCGGGACCTGAACCTATTCAGCCTCCACAAGAGAAGGCTGAGGGGGGACCTGGTGACCGTCTATAAACTCACTAGGGGGGACCAGAAGGGTTTGGGGGAGACGCTGTTTCCCCTAGCGCCCGCTGGCATAACAAGGAGTAATGGGCACAAGTTGATGGAGAGGAGGTATAGATTGGACATCCGCAAAAACTACTTCACAGTTAGGGTGGCTAGGAGCTGGAACCAACTTCCAAGGGTGCTGGCCCCTACCCTGGGGGTCTTTAAGAAGAGGCTGGATGCCTACCTGGCTGGACTCATTTGAGTCCTGTTTCTTGTTTTGGGGTTTTGTTGTTCTCCCACCCTGGCGGGGGGGGTCGGGCTAGAAGATCTACTAGGTCCCTTCCGACCCTAAATCTATGAAACTATGACTTGCATGCCGGTTAGTAAGGTGCCGGACAACATGGCTTTTACTGTAGTTGTTTTATCTGGAATTCAGTCATCAGAAAAGCTTTATTTTTTGTACTGGAAAAATGAGGTATGTTAAAATTTATGTTAAATTATATTTTAATTAGCTTGGTAAAACACAACTTGTCAGCTAACACAAACTATCATTTGAAAAAATCATGTTACTGCAAAGTTAAGCATGAGCAGCACTTTTTTTTTTTTTAAACAAATGTTAATTTGCACTACTTTATAAACATCCAATTCTCAGATCACAGCCCTCCCAGAATATGCATGTTTCTTTACCAGTGCGTACATACGATGTTTTAATTTATGCCTGCATCAGCCTAGAAGCTCGGTAAATTGAATAAAATAATATCATGCAACAATAACACTGAAGGACAGCAAATTTAGATTGGACATCAGGAAAAAATTCTTTACAGTCAGGGTTACCAAAATATGGAATAAGCTTCCAAGGGATGTGGTGCTATCCCCTTTCTTGGAGGTATTTAAGAGGAGATTGGACAAACACCTAGCTGGGTCATCTAAACCCACCACTCTTTCCTGCCTAGGGCAGGGGGTCAGATTCAATGATCTAATAGTTCCCTTCCAACCCTAAAAATCTATGAATCCATGAATAAAATAGTTTCATAGACATTAACAAGAGATTAGAGAATCAAACTGCCTTTTCCTGATCATACACAAGAGACAGAAGTGCTTGTTAATTTTTAATCATTATGGAGCATTTTGCATTCAAGACAGCAAGTCGGCATTTTAATGTAGCGCTCTGTACACTAGCTTTGCCAAACAAGAATGGAATAAAATGGCAAAACCTCCTAACTATGTGAGCTGACTTTGCACCCCTCACTTCCACTAAATTTATTCCCCACCCCTAAGAAAGAATAGGTTTGCACCTTACAGACTAACTGAAATCAGAGAAGCACAGCATGAGCATTTGTGAAAAGCAGTTTGCCTCTGCTTCCTTTCAGCATCCAAGGAAGCAAGAGAAAGCTCACTCTATGCATCTCCACTTCAGTTGGCCTATAAGGTGCAAACCTCCCTCATCTTCTTGATGGGAAATAAAACCAGTCAAAGTAAGAGGTGGGAAATCAATCCATCGTTGGTCTGTGACTGGTACAAAGTGACTCTGCCTTCTGCCTGACTTCTAGCTAATGACTCTGCATGAGGGGCAAGAATTTGGGGGGCAGGGAGGAATACCTTTTACTGGCCCCATTGCATGGCTGAGACGCACTCAGACAAGCTTTCCAACCCAAGACACCCTTCTCCAGGTGTCCCTTTATCCCCACGCACTGCCCCCACAACATCTAGGGGTCTTGCACCCCCAGCCCAGGAGCCAGTGGGATCCTACCTAAGCTGCACGTTTAAAATCCCTTGCCCAGGAGAGCTTTCCATTAACCACCCTCCTGGGAACTATGAAATATCGTAGCCAGAAGGAAAGAACTCAACATCCTGCTTGCCATCAGACAACGTGGAGGTAAACAGACCGCTCTAAGTTTTATCTGAGCCTAACTGGCACAAAATGAGCTTCTCCAGCCAGGAGATCTTACCACACCATCAGCTCTCCTGTAAAATATGAATTGTCATTTCCACCTGGGAGAAATTTTACAGTCTCTGCACTCTCCTCTGCCTGAGGAAGGGCAAATGTGTCCAAAAGCTTGCAAATAAAAACACTTTTATGTGCAGGTATCTGGCTGGTCTGATAAAAACACCACCTCTATCATGACTTCCAATTCCCTTTAAAATCTCAGCACTTTGCTCAACGGGGGTGACTCAGAAGTAGGGGGTGGGGGTCAGTTTCTAAGCCCCGTTAGCAATTTAACCCAGCCCCGCCCGAGGGCTGCTGCTGCTCAGGATCCAGCCTGCACCTCTCAGCACAAGGGACAGGAAGGACTCCCCCTCCCCCCCGCGCTGACGTCATGGGAAGCCGAGCCGGCGCGGCAGTAAGGGGCAGGTTGCCAGGTTAGGACTGGGGCGGCCTGTACCATTGGGTTCGGAGAAGTCCGTGCCATTTGAAGGGGGCGGCCGAACCACAGTGGAGAAAGGACAGGGGGACCGGCCCATTGGCGGTGGGGGGAGGGGAGCGGTCCCCACAGGACCGAGCACAAAGCCCCGAGCACGGCGCTCGCGAAGGGAGGAGCCGAGCGGGGCGGGTCCCCCCGGCCCACGTTACCCAGCTGGCCACGGAGCAGAGGCCCAGGACGCCGCCCATCTTCGCCGCGCTCTGGAGCCGCTGCCGCCAAGATGGAAGCAGCTGCAGCCGCCGCGCTCCCGCTGCTTGTGACTGCTTGTTTACCCTGTGCGCGGGCACTTCCGGCGCTAGTGCGTCACTTCCGAGAAAATCGAACGAAGTGAGGCGGAAGAACCCCGCCCACTCGGCGCTGGTCAGCCGGAGTTCGGAGCAAGGAGTGGGCGGGGTTTAGGAGTGGGCGTGGTGATCGAGCATTCATTTGCGTGGCCCCGCCTCTCTCCTTCGAGCCCTGCCTTGGAGGCATGCGCTCCATGGGCATCAGTGGGCGGAGGTCGGTCACTGCTCTGGGCAGCACGTGCTGCCGGGTGTACGATAGTTATCCTAGGTGTGCGAGAATGTCAACCTTGGTAGGATGTACAACCAATGCTCAAAATGTACCGTCCTTTTGGAGGGAGCTCCTTGATGCAGCACATGCGAAACCCAAGTCCTTCTCGCAAGACCAGGGAGTTACAGCGGACAATAAGCTGACTATGAGCCAACAGTGTGCCCTTGTTGCCAGGAAGGCTAATGGCTTCCTGGGCTGCATTGGTAGGAGTGCTGCCAGCGTAGCAAGCAACTGTTTTTACAGCCAGTGGTGCTACTGGATAAATTTGTATTTGGTGGACAATTGGGGTTAAATTAATACCAGGGTGACCAGCAGCGAAGCATGCTAGACACTTCCCAGCCTGAATTTTATTCAGAACTAGAAAACACAATCCAAAAGAAAGGTAAGAGTGCAAAACAAAGTGGAGATTTATTACAGTAAAACTTTGTTATCTGGCATGAGTAGGTTAAGTGGGATGCCTGTTAGCTAAAAATTTCAGTTATCTGGGCTTGCATGCTGTGGCAGCGACAGCATTCAAATTCTCCTCCCCACACCCTGCGTCCCGCCAGCCAGTCCCTGCCTGTGCAGCCTACAGAGGGGAGTCGCTACCCTTGCTCCCCACCCCCCCAGCCCTGCTCTAGAAATACTCTGGTTAATAGAATATTCCAGTTAATAAAATGCCAGTTAACACAGCTTTTACTGTATAAACCGCAAGGAATGGGAAAAACAAGTTTTGAGGGGCTCCCCGCCCCAAAAGGATGTGGACAAATTGGAGAGAGTCCAGCAGAGGGCAACAAAAATGGTGAGGGGGCTAGGGCACATGACTGATGAGGAGAGGCTGAGGGAACTGGGCTTACTTAATCTGGAGAAGAGGAGATAGAGGATTTATTAGCAGACTTCACTACCTAAAGGGTGGTTCCAAAGGCGATGGAGCTGGACTGTCCTCAGTGGTGCCAGATGACAGAACAAGGAGCAATGGCCTCAAGTTGCAGCAAGGGAAGTTTAGGATACATATTAGGAAATACTTTTCTCAGTCTTTCTCAGAAGGGTAGTAAAGCATTGGAACAGAATACCCAGAGAGGTTGTGGAAGCTTCATCCTTGGAGGTTCTCAAAACCTGACTAGACAAAGCTTTGGCTGGGATGATCTTGCTGGGGATAGTCCTGCTTCAAGCAGGGGGTTGGACTTACTAGATTATCTGTTGAGGTCCCTTCCATCCCTAATTTTCCATGATTTTATTTTCCAACAGGGCCAGGACAACCGGGGCAACTGCCCCAGGTGCCAACTTGACGGAAAGGCCAACCCTCCCCCCCCCCACACAGTTGCCTCCAGCAGCCACTGCCAGTCGTGTGGAGGCAACCAGAAGCCACTGCTGCCTCTGTGCTCCAGGCACCAGGCCATGTTGCTTTGTTGCTAGCATAGACAAACTAAGGATGCCTGAGTTATGTCAGTCCCCAGCTTCCACTTTCAGGACAAGGAAACAGGCCCATTTTGCACTTTCTACATCCAGCTCCCTCCTCTTCCCCTACATTCTCATGCTTATGTTCCATTGTTGCAAAATTTTGTAAGGGGATCACTCAATTTAATCAAAAAAAACCCAAACAAGCCAAGCTCTGTCTCCAGTGCTTCAAGCTGGGAAGCAGTTGCTATATCTAACTGCACTGAAGGAGGGGGAGAGGGAAGCTTACCATTGTGTAATGTTATGTAAATAGTATATATACCAGTTTGCTGTTAAGTAAATAACATGGAAATAGACTTTTGCCTATTGCTTTTAATCTTGTGTGGATTTTTTAGTTTTGCATTGCCTTAAGAAACTCCATTTTGTATTGCTCCATAGCTTGACATAAATATTCGACCTTTTACTCTTTTGTATACTGTATGGGTGAGAGTGTGTTTGTGGAAAAAGAAAACATCAGCTGGTGACTGGCTGAAGAATGCAGACAGATAAAAGATGAAACAAGAAGAATCTGTCCCAGAACAGCGAGAGAACAACAGCAATCAACCTTCAAAAAAGAACACAGTGATAACCCAGCAAAAGCCCAGAGGACTGGGTGAATTGACAAGGCTATAAAAGATGGGACGAGACATAACGATATTGGGTCTTGTTCTACATGTCATCCTGGAGCATCAATTCATTTGACGAGATGGACCAGCAGGAGCCTGGCTCCTGCTCTTGATGGCTGGCCGCTAAGTTGATCTGAGCACTGATAAGACTGGTAATGTATACCAGAGCAGAAGAGAAATTGGGTGCTTAACCAATAAACATGGAATCTGCCTTATCCTCCCTCATAAGGTATCGCTTGTGATTTGAGCAATTGGCAATCTGCATAACAGTAATACTCTGGGCAAACCCTTAATGACTACTTTACCAAACTCTTCAAATACCACTGGTAAAATATTTCCATCCAGACTGTTTGTCCTATTTGACTCAGTCTTTTAGAAGCTCTTGGTTATCTAACAGCCACTAGGAGTTGAAAAATAAATTAATAATGAGAAAAAAAAATAGTACAAAGTAAACGGCCCAGTTTCTGCAAATGTGGAAAGTTAATGTAAAAGAAAAATGTATGTCTACCATGTAACAGCCTCTATGAGTGTGGAGCGGCCCATTTGCATACATATCACTACAGGATCAGGGCCCAAACATACCTACATCTGCTAGACAAAAGATAATAAGATACTGTAAGTTAAGATTCAGAATATATTATGCTCACATACAAAAAAGCCATTAAATTACATTGTCCAATTTCTTTGCATATTAATAAGAAGAACAGAGTTGTTTTAATTGTAGAAAAAGATGAAGAAAGAATTGTCTTAGTTTACAGAGCATCTAGAAGCACGGAGTGCTACCCAAGGAATAGGGAATAAACATGGTGTGACTTCATTTTCAAACAAAAATGGCTTCTGAATAGCTTTCTGTTTCATAAGCAAAAACAAAACATTATTGTCTTAACAGAAACTAATCCAGGGATCCCGGTTTTCTCTGATTAAAAAAAATCACAAATTCTCTGATAAAACCCCCAAAATCCACAATTAAAATGAAATGCCACTATATATCAAGGTATCAATTAAGCACAATGTTTTATTGACATATTTACAATTTTAAAGCAATTTGGAAGCCTACCAGTACCTCAATCACGGTAATAAAATTAATTCTAAATACCTGTAAATTTTGGCATTTGATTTTGGGTTTTTTATCATAGAAAATCAGAGCTTCCCGCGTCCCCTTCATTCACCAGGACTCAGGTCCAGGCCCCTCACTCCCAAGCCACAACCCCCCAGCCCTGTGGGTGCCCCTTATTCCCCAACCACAGCCCCCTGACCCTGCTGGTGCTCCTCACTCCCCACCCATAGCCCCCTGGAACCTCCTATGCCACAACACTGAAGAATCTTGGAGGAAAGCTTGGGCAGAAAACAGTTTCCCAAATAAACACCTTGTTTCCAACCCAACAATGCAACAACCGGGCTTCAGTTCCATGGAATATGTGGACAACCTTTAACAGGATACACACTGGACATGGCTGGTGTGGCCACCTGATATACAAGTGGCGCCTAAAAACCTCGCCTGGCTGCAACTGTGGAAATCCTGACCAAACCATGGAGCACATAATAACATCCAGCCCCAGATACAAGTTTGAGGGCGACATTCTGGAGTTGCGCTTGCTTTCCGGTGGGGCATTGGTCTGGCTGGGGAATTAGGAATTACAACTGTGACAATAACTCATGTTCCTAAAGCCATACGAAAGAAGTCACCCCAACCATAGTCCCCCTCACCCCTCCCAGTGCCCCTCACTCCCCACCCACACTCCCCTGGGCCTGCTGGTGGCCCTCACCCCCAACCCACAGCCCCCCCACAGCCCTGCCAGAGGGGGCCCCCAGTTGCCAGGGCTATGGGGCCAGGGACCCCATAGCATCCTGCCCCCTGCAGCAGTGCCCAAGCCCCAGCTGGTGCCTGCAGAAGCTGGCGGCTGCTGCAGCAGAGCAGCACATAGAACCCAGCTCCCCCACCCTCACAGGCAGCATGGCCAGTGCAGAGCCCTTTGGGGGCAGAGGGAGGCTGTCTGCTGTGGCTTTGGGCTCCCTGCCCTTCTGCCTTCCCCCTGGGGCCTCTGTGGCCCAGCAGGTGGGACCCAGAGCATCAGGGTAGAGCGGCGCTGGGCGGGGAAGCTCCTTCCCACTGCAAGCTCTGTGCTGCCATGGCAAGGCGCCCCCTGCTCACCCAGCAGCAGCAGCAGCAAGGTGCACAAACCCGTACCACCACCCCTGCTTCTGCCAGCCAGGAAGGGGATGCCACACCAGGGCAGTGGGGGACTCGCAGCAGCAAGAAGCTTCTCTGCCCAGTGCCACTCTACCCTGCTATGCCAGATCCTGCCTGCTGGGCCAGGGAGGCCCCAGGGGGAGGGCAGCAGAGCAGGGAGCCTGAGCCCACAGGAAGCAGCCTGCACCCACCCCTGCCCTGCTCATAGATCTGAGGTGCACGTGCCCACTCTCCCCCCTTGGGAGCCAGCTCCTTCCTCCCACTGGATGAGCCACCTGTAGCCCCGTCCTTCTCCCCTGTGGCCATGCATTCTGCCCCCAGCACCATGCACCACCTGGCTGGCCAGCATCCCCGGCCCCAGCACTGCCCTGCCCTGCCCAACTCCCTTCCTCTTTCCCTCCCTATGGGGTTTCAATTGCCCCCAACTCCTCTCCTCCAACCCCCTGCAGGCTGGAACTCTGCCAGCCTGCAGAGAGCTCTTTGCAAAAGTGGAAAATCCATGTGT